CAATACCAGGACTATAACCAAATTCAGCAATCGATATAGCTCTGCTGGCAAAAACTTGTAGTTGCAATGGCAAAACATCTTTTTCTGTTTTGATATAAGCAGTATGTAGTTATTGTACTGATTTAAATTGGATCCCCTCTCTAAAAGGGTGTACCAGGTCTTCTCCTGTAGCTACATTGGCAGACTTTCTACTGGAGACTGTTCCACAAATAAACTACTGAGGAGCGTGAGGCTGATAACAGCAGAGCGACTTTGGAGACTTGACAAGAGCGTAAAGCTTTTCCCCCTTTGGGAGGAACCACAAGGAAACACTGTCTGCTTCCTTAAGTGAATCTCTCCTCGAGAACAAAGGACTCCAACTCATACACAGAGAAGTAATTTACATCTAATTATACCAGTCTTTAAAAATCTACAGGGTGTTTGTTTCTTTAATATCTGCTTTTTCTTTCCCGGAAACACGTAAAAAAAGAACACCTTGTTAATTACTTTTTACTTTGCCTGAATGAAAAGCAGCAAGAGTATTTCTGAGTGCCTAGATATCATTGCTTCCTCACTTGCCTAGCTATAAAGCAGTTCAAATGAATTTTATTAAACTTCCCAAGAACATTTAGCTCAAGCATAAACACAGGTATGAACATTTTCAACCACAACTATAAATGATTTGGAATGCTATAAATTCTTGGAACGACTTCTTACTGAGACACATTTTCCCACGTAGTACTATAATCTCACATCTATCCAGCAAGATTTCTTTAATTATCAGTTGCTGGTGATTCTCAGGTCAAATCTACTGCAACTAGGTCTATTCTAGAAGCTTTTTAATGAGTTTTAGACCAGCAAAACACCTTAGCTGCATCTGTAGGAAAGACTTCAGCTGACAACTGTGCCAGCTGGGATAAGAGATGGGACATAGTTGCGCTAGAAGCATTTCTAACTAATGATTTCAGTAAAGCTGTGTTTTTGATGGGGTGACTTCTATGGTTTTGAGGGGTGGTTTAAAAAAATGTATATGAAACATGCTTTTGCAGACATACAAATATCTATAATCTGAACGTATCGTTGCTACAACATAATAACCAGCTTTTCACTAGGCAGTGAGAAGGCGTTTCTGTGCCGCTTGCAATGAGCCGTTGCAAGAGCTGCTTAAACCATGTAGCGCTCCCCCATCGGGAGCATCCCCACGGGCAACCTCCAGACTTCTTGCTGGCAACCTGTAGCCCTCATTCACGTCTTACTGGCTTCATATTAAGACCAGTGAATACAAACTAGTAGTATACTAAAATCCTGGATATGCTCGGGCACGTAGGGTACACTCGGATGCAGCGTTCTGCCTGTTGTGCAGGAGAGCTAACTGCCTTGCCTTCTCTCCGGCTTGGTGATTTGCTGATTAGTAATCAGCAAATCTGGTTTGGAGAGTGGCCTTGGACCACATGATGTCCTCATGTAGGCAGTTTTGCTAGTATTATTGGTTTTGCTCCTGTAATTAGTGTAAGCTAGCATTCTAACTTACAAATATAGTAGTTCCAGGAGGAGGCAGATGTCCTCACCCCCACATTTTTCCCCTAGAAGCAGAACAATATATACTGTTTTTGCCAAACACGACTGAGTCTAAATTATGGTGTGACTCCTGGTGTATAATTAATGTTTGTCATGGGCAGTGTTTCTTCAAAAGCTGGCTAACATTTGCACGGAAAAAAAATTGGTTTTATAGTCCTAGCTTCAGTCTGCTTGAGACGGAAAGTTTAGTTTCGTTTTCTGATCTCGCGCTGGCACTCTGTAAAAGAGAAGTGGTATGTACAAAGCACAGCATTTCTCAGTTTACAGGAACAAACGTGAACATGCATTTAAACAGGCAGAAAAAAAGATGTTGTGTTTCCGTTCCTCTCTTCTGTTTTGAAGGTCAAATTCTTCAGAAAAGGGATAGAAAAATAAACCTGGAAACCGAAATACATTTTTATCCGGACAAAATGGCAAACCTTTCCCAAGATATTTCCAGCTCTTTTTGCCATCTCTGTGTTCTATCGCAGGCATCTTTTAAAAAGTAGTTTCTCACAGCGGGGCGTTTTGCAAAGTGTATTTTAATGAAGCATTCACACATGGCCTACTTTCCGAGGCTGACAGGTTTGCACGGTTAATAAGTAACATGTAGAAAAGCGGGGGGGGGAAGGAACAGCTGTATCTTAAAAAAAAAAAAAAAAGAAAAAAAGCTTTGCAAAATCGGTAACTTCCGAGAAGAATCGGCTGTTATCATCTGTGGGCAAATCTCACAACGGAGAGCAAGTTTTGTTGCTTTGACCGTACTGGCGCTCCCCTCCTAGGGCAATTACAACGAGAAACACCTCCTTGACTCTGCTCATCGCGGCCACGACCTACAGACTTGTATTAGCTAGGAAGGAGGGCCTCAGAGGAGGGGGTAGGCCGGCGTCGCGGCCTCCCCCCGCGGCGGCGCGTTAATCCCGCGAGGCCGGGGCAGCCCCCGCGCCCAAAGGGGGGGGGAA